AATTTACAGAGGTTTCCAGACAAGTCTTATGCAGGTGCACATATGCTGTACATATGCGTATATATGTATGTATGTATGTCTGTCTGTATGTATGTATGTATGTATGTATGTAGGTATGTATGCATATATGCATACATGTAAGTGTGCGCATGGACGTGCATACATATACACATGCATATAGAGATTACATGAACATGTACATGTACATGTACATCTACACAAGCACATGCAGATGTGTGCAGGTGACATGTGCATAAATGGGCAACAATGCACAATTTGTCCTATGAGATGGGCACAAAGTACAACAAGCGCATCCATGAGCATGTTGCTGCAGAAAAGTAGGAGGCCGCACGGTGGCTTGTGGCCAACGATAGGAGCGCAGAGACTTGCCACATCAGCTGTGCATCGTATCACAGTACATGCCAAGGCACAGAACCTTCGAAGAACGGCTTGTCGTGAGCTTGTCGCATAAATGCCGAGACATGTATGCAACAACGCCCTGAATCTCAAGCCTTTTCGGTAGCCCTAAACCTCAAACCCTAAACCTCCCCAAAGTCCTAAACCTTAAACCCTAAACCTTAAACCTCAAAACCCTACACCTCAAACCCTGAACCTCCCCAAAATCCTAAACCCTGAGCTCTGGCAGGTAGTGAGTGGCATCGTCGATGGCTCCTTGAGTCCGGGCGCCCAAGGGAGAGAAAGTAAGGACACCAGGAGGGGGTTCATGGGTTTAGGGTTTAGGGTTTAGGGTTTAGGGTTGCCAGGGTGTTCATGGGTTTAGGGTTTAGGGTTTAGGGTTTTAGGGTTACTAGGCGTCTCATGGGTACAGGGTTTAATGTTACCAGGGGGTTCATGGGTTTAGGGCTTAAGGTTACTAGGGGGCTCATAGGGTTTAGGGTTTAAGATTGAGGGTCCTAGGGGGCTGAGGGGTTCAGGGTTCGGGTCCTCTGGGTTGAAAGCTCTCAAGAGGGGTTGAGAGAGACGATTTGTTTGGAATGAACCCTAAACCCTAAACCCGAAACCCTCAACCCTGATCCCCAAATTCCTAAAGCCAAAAACTCTGAAACCAAAGGTTCTGGGTTCAGGGTTTAGGGCTACTACTGTGTAGGGCTACTAGGGCTACCAGGGTTACTAGGGCTTCTATTAAGCCCCCTTTTGCTCAGGGTTTAGGGCTACTAGGGCTTATATTAAGCCCCCTTTTGCTCTCCAGGCCCACAGGTTCTCATCCAGCTGGCGGCGCAGGCTGCGCAGGCTGAGGCCCAGGCCGAGCTGCGTCGTTTCGGGTTTCGAGGGTTTTGGGTTTTGGGTTTAGGGTTTAGGGTTTAGGGCTACTAGGGCTTAGGGCTTAGGTTTAGGGTTTAAGGTTTAGGGTTTAGGGTTTGGGGTTTGGGGTTTAGGTTTTAGGGTTTAGGGTTAGGGTTAGTTTAGGGTCTTCGGGTTTTAGGGTTTAGTGTGTAGGGTTTCGGGTTTTAGGGTTTAGGGTTTAGGGCTTAGGGTTCGGGTTTCAACGAAGAGAATGTAATGAGCGCAGTAATAATATAATTGCAAGGTAACGCGCGAATTAAATTATTAATGCGTGAATGAAGAGAACGAAGTCATGAACGCACAATTAACACGCCCGAAACAAAAGAATTATATGGGCGTGAGAATATTAATAGTGTGCGTTCGTTTGTGCGGCTTTTTCTTTTCTTTTCTTATTGCCGCACGCATGATATTAATACGAAGAGAATAAGTGAATTAGAGAACGAAAGAACGGAGTGAGTGATGTGAACGTAATGAACGCATGAACGAAGTACAGTAACAACAATATGATTCAGGGCTCCAAGTTCCAGGATGATACGGTTGTTGTGGGGCGTTCACTTCGTTCACTTGAAATGCAAATTAACGAAGGAGTGAAGGAAGTGAGTGATCAATTGAACGAAGTAAGAACGAAACCAACCGCCGAACGAGAGAAAGGGCCCCAAAACCCCCATAATAATATATTTCGTGCGTCCTTGAGTCCTTACAATATATTATTATGGTCCTTTTGGGACGTAGTTTTAGTACTAATCCTGTATCAACCATTAACACGCTCAGGATTTAGGTTTAGGGCTACTGGGGCTTAGGGTTTAGGGCTCAGGGTTTAGTGGGAAGGCCCTAAACCCTAAACCCTAAACCCTAAACCCTAAACCCTAAACCCTAAACCCTAAACCCTAAACCCTAAACCCTATACCCTAAACCCTAAGTTGGGGCTCCAAAGGCGGCCGCGACCATCCCAGGGCTTGCCGGCGGAGCTGCGGCAGCACCTGGGCAGGTTAGGGTTTAGGGTTTAGGGTTTAGGGTTTAGGGTTTAGGGTTTAGGGTTTAGGGTTTAGGGTTTAGGGTTTAGGGTTTAGGGTTTAGGGTTTAGGGTTTAGGGGTTAGGGGGGTTTAGGGGTTTTAGGGTTTAGGGGTTTTAGGGGTTTAGGGGTTTAGGGGGTTTAGGGGTTTAGGGGTTTAGGGGTTTAGGGGTTTAGGGGTTTAGGGTTAGGGGGTTAGGGGTTTAGGGGTTTAGGGGTTTAGGGGTTTAGGGGTTTAGGGGTTTAGGGGTTTAGGGGTTTAGGGGTTTAGGGGTTTAGGGGTTTAGGGTTTAGGGCTACTTTGGGGTGGGGGGGGAGTGCTGGAGGGTTTTGGGCGTCGAGTTTAGGATTTACGGTAAAACCCCCGCCTCATGTGACATATCCGAAGGGTAGAAGGCACCTAAATCCACTACAGTAGTTCCTTTGCCTACACAGATTTACTTATCACATAGAAGCCTTTAGGCGTTCTATCAGGTACCACTCAGAAAGTGCTCTTGCGGTTCATAAGCCTAGACACGGGCTATAATCAGGTACCAAATTCCTGATTAAGAACGAGTAAGATTGCGGCTTAGGCGGGTTTAGGGAATCGGGATGTTTAGAGATTGGGGCTTTGGGGGTCGGAGCGAGGGGGTTCAGGGTTTAGAGGGTTAGGTTGTCGGGTTAGGTTTGAAGGCTTAGGGCCGAAGGGTTTACAGGTTTAGTTTAGAGGTGCTTGGGGTTTCGACTTCAGGGTGGTGAGTTTTGGGGAGCTTCGGACCTGGGCAGCTCAGTCAAAGAATGCCTTTGTTGCAAGATGGGCCGCTGCTCAATCGGGAAGCCTTTGCTACCTCTAAGCCTCTCACAGAAATCCTAAAGCCTAAGCCCTAAACCCCACATTCAGCGGTGGCAGCAGGTGAACAAGGCACCAGGAATCCCCAAACCCGCAAGCCTTTGAACTGCGAATCCTCCAAGACCCCAAGCCTAGCACCCTGTAGACCCTCCGGGTTCGACTTCCCCGGAACCCTAAACCCTTAAAAACACTAAACCCTAAGCCCCAAAACCCTAAACCCTAAACTCAACCTCAGGCCCCCCCCAAGGGTGCTTCTCCCGTTCCAAGGCCGCGGCCGCCACCGCCGCTGCAGCGCGGCCACCCGGCGTCGCCTTGCCACCGGCCGGAGGGCCAAGGGATTTGGGGTTCGGGGTTTGGGGCTTGGGGTTTGGGGTTTAGGGGGTTTAGTTTAGTGTTCAGCGTTCAGGGGTTCATGATCAAGAGTCTGAAAACAAGAGCTTCGCGAATGACTAGCAGTTTGCCCCCGCATACGACGCCCCGGACTCATAGTGTGTCAAGATGCGGGAGCTTTTGAGGGTGGTAGTTTCATGCCCCCTTAGAGGGCACCCTGAGGTAAGGGACCATATTAGCTTGGCTGGATCGTGTCGATTTCTTTTGCTACTCATTCACCCATGGTTGCCTATACCAAAACCGCTGTAAACTCCCAAGCCCGAAGCTCCACACCTAAAGCCCCGAAGCCCCGAGGCCCTAAACCCTAAACCCTAAACCCTAAACCCTAAACCCCAAACCCTAAACCCTAAACCCTAAACCCTAAACCCTAAACCCTAAACCCTAAACCCCCCTACCCTCCAGGGCCTGGTGACGCCTACGGGCCTGGCTGGGCTCAGACCCTTGGGCTGCAGGAGATGCCGAGATGAGAGTTTTGGAGTTCAGGGTGTAGGGTTTAGGGTTTAGGGTTTAGGGTCCAGGGTCTAGTGGGTTTTCGAAATTAGGGGTACCTTCTTGGGGGCCCTATTGTCGTAAACCCTCCTTTATTTGATTTTGTGTTTTGGGTGAGGGGGGGGTGGGGGGGGGGTAGGGTTTGAGGTTGAGGGTTTGGGGTTTGGGGTTTAGGGTTGTGGGGTTGCTTACGGTTTTGGGGTTGAGGGTTCTGGGGCTTGAGGCGTCTGGAGTTTTGTTGCTTGGGGTTCGGGTTTGAGGGTCTTTACGGGCGGGGGGTTCATGGGGAGTAGGTACCTGGGGAACCTTAGGGAAGCTTAGGGAGCCTTAGGGAGGAGTAGGGAGTGGTAGGGAACCTTGGGTTACATACCCCCCTTAAGAACCCTAGAATTTCGGTTCGCAGCTGGAATTTCTTGGGGTCGTGGGCCTGTGCCGTGAGAAGGACTGTTTGGGGTTTCGGTGCAGCTGTAGTCGCTGGGGTGTCTGTAAGTGCATTCTCGCCGTGTTTGTGCGTCCTCGCCAAGACGGTTTCAGGCCGAAGGCCCCAACGGCATCCAACGAGCTTGGAGAGGGCTTGGGGTTTAGGGTTTAGGGTTAGGGTTCAGGGTTTAGGGTTTAGGGTTTAGGGTTTAGGGTTTAGGGTTTAGGGTTTAGGGTTTAGGGTTTAGGGTTTAGGGTGTAGGGTTTAGGGTTTAGGGTTTAGGGTTTAGGGTTTAGGGTTTAGGGTTTAGGGAGATCAACTCAACGGATAACGTTTGTCACGCCGCGAAAGGATGATGGCCTGCCGCTGGCATGCAGCCCCCAAGCTCAAACCCACCCCAATTTGGTAGGACAAGTGAAGCCTTAGGATCCCCTGGGGTGCGTGGGTGCCTTCCGCTCACGTCTTTACACAGTTGAAGGTTAAGTTGAATGATTCTTGCAGTGGCGTGGGGTTCGATTGGGTTCTCACAGAAATTAGCTTGACGCCTGACGCAATGAACGCAGGAGATTGACAATCAAAATCAGCTTCGCGAAGGCTAAGCTTTGCGAAGTGTTGCTGCATTCTTCTCACAACAGAAGCCAGGCGTCTTTTGGAGTCTTTGCATGGGTTCCTTTTGATACCCACTGCTTATGCACAAAGATGTAGTAGCGCGCTGTGTGTGCTATTCAGACACACTCAAAAATTTGGTCTGCATCGACCTTATCGCGCACAGTCGTGATCATGCGGATTACAGCCGAGTGTGTAGTTTTTGAACATGTTCCCATGTCGCCATCTCGTGCGATTCCGGTACCCTGAAGAAGCTGCGACTTGAATTATCGCTAGCGTGTGCCGCCTCAGCCCCACGGGACGTGCACGTCCGCGGTTTTATAGGTTTAGGGTTTAAGGTTTAGGGTTTAGGGCTGGCTGCAGATACGTTTGACGACCGCGGCTCGAATCAAAGATGTTTGAATGTCGCCGACCCGAAAACTCGAAACGGTGAATTCGCAGCGTAGATGAGCTTGGGGACGTATAGGCTTGCTGGACGACCCCGGAAGCTTTGTCTGCGTAAATTGGCAGCAATGTCAGCAGGCGGTGCAACACATCGGTGCAGTTGTTGTTTGCGCTCGTGCGCATGCTGCCAAGTGACTTCTGGGTAGGGTGGTGGGAGCTGCCAAAGCGTGGACAGCAAAGACTTAAAGAGAGGGACTTCCACCTTCCCATCCGAAAGATGCATGCCATGCCGCAAGGTGCACTTGTTGTTTTTGTTGAAGCATGGTTAGGGTGCGGCTCAAAACAACAAACAGAGGGTGGAGCGCAGAAGTCCTGGGGGGGTACGAGGGGGGTTCCTGGGCCAGGTCTTGTGCTCCAGATTCTGCAGCTCCGCCAAGCGCCCACAGGAAGGGGCGTGATGGGTTGGTGTGGGGGAAGGGTGGGAAGGGGCGAAGGAAACCAGATCCTGGTTGCTTGTTCCAGACGCCTGTCATCCAGAGGCCGAGGCAAAGTCTGAGTCAGACCTGTGAGGGCGCACCCCCAAGTAATAGGATTCCCTTATAAGAAGGACCCCAATAAAGGACCCTTAATTTCGGAAACCCGCAATTGAACTGTATGAGTATGGAATGTAGCAACTTACTCCGAGGCCTCCCTCCAGGAGCCGCTCCGCCTGCTTTGGGGGTGCCGCGCTGAGCAGATGTTGCGGATTTGGGACTTTTCATAGCTTTGCAATAAACGGGAAAGAACGAACAAACAAACAAACACGCACTCGCCAGAGACACACAGAGAGACGCACAGAGCGACACACAGAGATACACAGAGACACACAGAGATACACAGACACACAGACACAGTCTGATGCCTGATTCGGAAAGGGCTTGGCATCTCTTGCGGGTGCCCCTCCGCCGACGTTGCCCGGATTGGCCAGGTTCTCAATGTTGCGGTGTTCTTATGGCAGCCAATGAAGATCTGAGGCGCCCCAAAGCAGCCTGAACGCCTTGGGGTTTAGGGTTTAGGGTTTAGGGTTTATTAGGGCTTAGGGTTTGGTTGCGCAGCACATGTGGTCCAGCTGCTGAGGCTGGATTAGACACCAGTGCGGCAGCGCACGAGCTGATCTCAGCTGAGAACCCTGGGCTTTGCAGCAATCCGCCGCGACAAGTGGGATTTCCGGACACCCGAAAACGCAAGCCGAACTTGAAACCTTAACAGCCCAAACCCGGCAACCCCCATGGAACCCTATAAAACCCCCAAAGCCCTGGAGCCCTAGAGCCTCCCTGCAACCAGGACCCTAAACCCTAAGCCCTAAACCCCAAACCCTAAACCCCAAACCCTGCACCCTAAACACTAAGCCCTAAACCCGGCACCCTCAACACTAAACCCTAAACTCTGAACCCTAAACCTCCAAGCAGGATGATATGGCAGTTGACAGCTCCCCAGAGCAGTCCAGACTCAGGCCGCAGCATTACAGGGGACCGACCTCAACGAGTGACGCCCGGTTTTGGGGGTTTAGGGTTTAGGGTTTTAGGGTTTTCGGGTTTTCGGGTTTTTGGGTTTTAGGGATTTAGGGATTTAGGGATTTAGGGTTTAGGGATTGCGAGGGTTGTAGGGTCTCCGGTCTGTGTCACCATTGGCCGTTTATGCCCTGAACTTCTGAACCCCCACCGGGTAGGCCTAGTTTCAACAGTTAACATGGTGGTCGGAAGAATTACTAACCCTAATCCCCAAACCCCAAACCCCAAACCCCAAACCCCAAACCCTAAACCCTAAACCCTAAACCCTAAACCCTAAACCCTAAACCCTAAACCCTAAACCCCAAACCCTAACCCTAAACCCTAAACCCTAAACCCCGAAACCCAAGGCCCCAATATTACGCCCCCGAAGCTTCGATCACCCTTACTTTGGCAGGTACTATGCGCGGTGGTGGTCGCAGTACGGGACGGTCGCTGCCAAGGGAGGTGGGAGTCCTGGGTTTAGGGTTTAGGGTTTAGGGTTTAGGGTTTAGGGCTTAAAGAACCCTGTCCCTG